AAAAAAAAGACCAGATTTACTGGCTTAAAGGAGACTGAAGAAACCCTGAGAGTACGGCCCCCAGATACGCTTTTAGTTCAGTGGTGAAGTCACTTCCGAGGTTCACCGTTAAGCCAGGGAGTGGACAGCCCCATAAAATCAAATGGGACTAATGAGGCACAGCAGTCCAGGGACAAGGACTAGACGGCAGAAGGGGACAGAAAAGCTGGTGATAGGGAACCCAAGGTTGAGTTAGGATAGTGTTGATGTGTTGTGAGGTTGTTAACCATTGTCATAGGGCAACATGTGTACTGTTTAATGAGAAACTATTTTGTTCTGTAAACCTTCGTCTAAAGTGAGACTAGCAGCGCAACTGGAAGAGTGTAGTCGATGTCACTGAACTGTGCATGCAGAAATTTTTGAAATGGTGTATCTTTGGCTATGTGTATTTTCACCAAAAAAAAAAAAAACAAAGGTCAAGAAGTGAGAGAGTTGACATGTCGTAAGGTTGTTAACCAATGTCATAAAACAACATGTGTGCTACTCTTTCATGAGAAACTATTTGTTCTGTAAACCTTCACCTGCAGTACAATAAAAATATTTTAAAAACTTAAAAAAAAAAAGACAAATGCCTTGTCCTTTCACTCTCCCTCCTTGAGATAATTAGAACTCCATTAAACTACACAGTTATGGATCTGGGGTGTTTTCCATCCTTCCATAGGACACTTACTCAAATTTACTTTTTAAAGTGTACAAGCTCAAAATGCCATATAAATTTGGTTTTACAACACTTAATCCCTTTCAACTTCTGTGGCTGACATGCGTGAACGCGCGCAGAGGCTGGCTCAGGAATGCTCTCCTCTCTCATTTTCCGCCAGCAGAAAGCAACTCCCAAGAAGTACTCTCAGTTCAGCGCGGACGTGGCAGAGGCCATAGCTTACTTTGACGCCATTATCGCGGAGCTGGACACAGAGAAGCGGCCCCGTCCGGCTGAGGCCGGCCTGTCCAACGAGGACGTGGACTTTGATGGTAAGTGCCGAGGAAGGCCACGCTGCGGGTGGCCGCTGGGCGGGTAGGTCGGGGTCCCTGCCGGTGGGCTGAGTAGGCTATCAGGAATCCCACCGCCCTGAGTAAAGGGAAACCCCACACCTGTGAGCCAGAGCCTGTTCTTCTCTTCCAGACCTCTTGCATTAGTTGGTCTCAGCTGCCACCACTACGGACCATCCCTCCAGTACTCTGAGGCCAAATCTGGGCCCAGACTCCTCCCCTGTGGTCCATTAACCACAGCTGAGACAGGTTGGAACCTTTGGAAGACTCCATGAGGGGAAGCAATAGGGAAATCATGAAATAAAGGGAAATGACAAACTGTGTTAAAAGAAAACTAGAAGCAACCAAGATGTCGTTCAATAGGTGAATGGATAAACAAACTGTGATACATCCAAACAATGAAGTGTTAGTCAACAATAAAAAGGAATGAGCTATCAAGGGACAACAAGACATGGAAGAAACTTACATGCAAATTGCTCAATGAAAAAAGCCAGTCTGAAAAAGCTACATACTGTATGATTACAACCACATGATATTCTGGAGGACACAACTATAGGGACAGGAGAGTCCCTGGGTGGCGCAAATGGTTAACCCACTCAGCTGATAACTGAAAGGGTGGAGGTTCAAGTCCACTCAACAGAGCCTTGGAAGATAGGCATGGTTATCTATTTCTGAAAAATCAGCCATTGAAAACCCTATGAAGCACAGCTCTACTCTGATACACATGGGGTCACCGTGAGTCAGAATCAACTGGACGGTAACTGGTTAACTGGTTACAGAGACAGGGAAAAGATCAGTGGTTTGACAGGGGTTTAGGGGGCACAGGGTGGGGAAAAAGTCTAATTTCTGAACCTACTTAAGTTAGCTTGGCCTTGAGGTAACACTGTCTGCTGGACCTGACTCTGACTTTTCACCCACTCTGTCACCCCCCTGCACCCCCCATTACTCCTTCTGTGACTCTGACTTTTCACCCACTCTGTCACCTCCCTGCACCCCCATCACTCCCTCTGTGGCTCTGACTTTTCACCTACTCTGTCACCCCCCTGCACCCCCCATCACTCCCTCTGTGGCTCTGACTTTTCACCTACTCTGTCACCCCCCTGCACCCCCCATCACTCCTTCTGTGACTCTGACTTTTCACCTACTCTGTCACCCCCCTGCACCCCCCCATCACTCCCTCTGTGGCTCTGACTTTTCACCCACTCTGTCACCCCCCTGCGTCCCCCTCCCATCACTCCCTCTGTGGCTCTGGCTTTTCACCCACTCTGTCACCCCCCTGCACCCGCCTTCCCATCACTCCTTCTGTGGCCTGCACAGTCAGCATGCAGGGGTGGGGATGTAGGCCAGAAGAGGCCCTGGGATGCCCGCCCAGGCCCCAGCCCTGAGCTCTGAAGAGAGAAAGATGGTGAGGGCTGAGAGCGCCCTTCTCTCTTTACCAAAGTGTATCCTTGGCTTTCTCCCAGTGGAGAGCAAAGAATTAACCAAGTTAATGAGTTAAGCCCATTTTGAAATTCTAGCACTCAACTGTCAATTCCTTTAAACTTTGTCTTATCCTCAAGGTGTAATTAAGCAAAGATTTTATTCAGGGAGGTTACTGGCCCCAGGATACTAAGGTACCAGCATTTGGTGCAAATATTAAATCATTTGCAAATGTTTTATCTAAGGCTCCAGATTACGTTCTTGTGGTTTACTGTTGTTGTTTTGCCCTGATAGATATTTATCTATGAAATCTGGGTTTTCACAGGATTCTGTAAAATTTCACAGAAAGTTATTCCTAAACCTCATTTTACCTTGCAGGGTAATTAGTTTGTCCTCGCCTCCCAGGCGGCCCCTTCAGTTCCTGACAAAGTACAGCCCTCTCTCTTCCTGAGAGTGAGGCCTGGGAAATCCAAGATGTTCGAGAAAGGGCTATAAAACCCACTGAAGATGCAAATGTCATCTCTGCAGTTATAATTTCTTAATGACAATGACCTTATAGTTTTTCTATGATGACAGTAATACATGCTCATTGTAAATCATATTAATAACAAATATTACCTGTATAATTCTACCACTCATTATTGTTAACATTTTGGTGTCTATTCTTTCAAAAATTAATTTCAGTACCCACACATCTACCTGTATACTTGTTGTTAGCTGCCATGGAGTTGGCCTCTTCCTCATGATGACCCCATGCACAACAGAATGAAATGCTTCCTGGTTCTGCGCCATCCTCAAGATCAGTTTCAGATCAGACCACTGTGATCCACTGGATTTTCACTGGCTGATTTTCAGAAGTAGACTGCCAGACATTTCTTCCTAGTCTCTTAGTCTGGAAGCGCCACTGAAACCTGTTCAGCATCATAGCAACAAACAAGCCTCCAACCCGAGTCTTCGTCATGGAAGGCACAAATTCTACCACTGAACCACTAATGCCCCCATATATATTTATTATTATTGTTAGTTGTTGCCAAGTCAATTCAAACCCATGGCGACCCCATGTGTGCAGACTAGAAGTGTTTCATAGGGTTTTCAAGGTTGTGACCTTTCAAAAGCAGATTGCCAGGCCTGTCTTCCCAGGCACTTCTAGGTGGGTTTCAGCTACCAACCTTTTGGCTAGTGGTAAGGCTCTTAACAATTTGTACCACCCAGGGACTCATAAAAAAAAGAAAAGAAAAAAAAAGGGTGTCTTTGCTATTTTCTCATCTTCTCTTTTAACTTAACAATTTACAATAAATCTTGGGTATCTTTCCAACGCAGTAAATATAAATCTGTATTCTTATTTTAATGGACACATAATATTCCTTTGCATTCCTATCCTGTCCTTGAACTTCTGGGCCTTTCTAAAAACCTGCTTTTACTAACATTGCTTTTACTAGCATTGCTGAGCATTGCTGTGAGTTCTCATTCTCATCCACCCTCTCCTTTGTCTTCTGCTTCTGTGGATGGCAAACCCTCCTTTCCGGGCCACCTCGTTCTCTCTCCCAGTGGCCACCAGCTCCCGAGAGCACAGCTTGCATTCCAACTGGATCCTTCGGGCGCCACGGAGACACTCTGAGGCCATCACTGCCCGTGCCGTGCACACGCTGGATGGCCAGCTTCGCAAGAGCAGCGAGTGGAGAACCATCGGAACCCAGAGGAGACTTGAGAGGCACCCCATTTACTTGCCCAAGGCTGTGGAAGGGGCATTCAACACTTGGAAGTTTAAGCCCAAAGCCTGCAAAAAAGGGTAAGTATTTGGGCTAAAAAGTATCACTAAGATGTTCTCATGTCCTCCAGACTCTTGGGGTGGTTCTGACAGTGGCTTGAGCCCCTATCCCATATGCCAGAAGTTATTCTTGCGTAGTTTTTTGGTGGGCCTTAGTTTTTTTGGTTCTTTTGGCGGTGTTATACTGTAGCCTGTTTCATTGCTGTCACCTGCTCCTAACTGAAGCATCGGCTCTGGATCTGCCTCCCTTCTTTCTGGCTCACTTCCTCCTCATGCTTCATGTCTCTCTGTCATTGTTTCCCCAAGCGCCACTGACACAAGGGCGTTGTGTGCTGCAGATTTCTTTTTATATATATATATATAATATTTTATTAAGTTTTTGGTGAGACTTTACAGAGCAGGTTTAACAATTTCTGCACACAGTGTTCAGTGACATTAGTTACATTTATCACAGTGTGTCAGCATTCCCTTTATTTGTGTTCAGTTTGTTCCCTTTTCAGTACTCTAGTTTCCCTTCCCCCTTATCTTCTCATCTTTGCTTTTGAGTGATGGTTGAACTTTTGATCTCATACTTACGGTTTTTAAGAAGGGCACTGATCTTATGGGTAATATCCTTTATTTTGTATGCCACCCTACGATTTCGCTAAACGGAGATCTTGGGATATGCTCAGTTCTAGATTTATAAAGAGTGTTCTCAGGGCGAGAGTCTCAAGGAGTCCTCTATTCTCTACTGTTCCAATTTGTCTGACTTTTTTTTTTTTTAAAACAAGAATTTGAGTTCTGCTCCACATTTTTCTCCTATCCTATCTAGGACCATCTATTGTGACCCTAGTCAGAACAGTGAGTGGTGATAGCCAAGTACCATCTAGTGCTTATGGTCTCAGAATAGATGAGGTTTTGGCTGGTGTAGATTTGTTTCTTCTCTGAGCTTTTGGTTACCTTCTTACTGTTTTGCTCCAGGTGAGTAGAGACCTGCAGTTGTGTCTTGGATGGCTGCTCACAAGCTTTTAAGACCCCAGACACTACTCACTTCATTAGGATGCAGTTCATGATCTTTGTGAACTATGTTATGCCAATTGACTGAGTTGTCCCATGAGACTATGGTCCTAAGCTTTCAAACCCAGAAAACCAATCTTGGAGGGTGTTCGGTAATGTCTGTGGATTATCCATACTTGGGTCCTCAATGAATATATGTGCCTGCACCCACATATTTGTATTTACACGTACCTATAGATACTTCTGGAGCCCTTATGGCACAGTGGTTGAGAGCTCAGCTGCTAACCCAAAGACCAGCAGTTCAAATCCACCAGCTACTCCTTGGAAACCCTGTGGCACAGTTCTGCTCTGCCCTATAGGGTCTCTAGGAGTCAGAATCAACTCATCGACAACGGCTTTGGTCTTGTTTTTTTTTTAAATAGATACTTCTGTCTGTTCTCACCTATGTACACACCTGTACCTACCAGTATACCAATATGTCTATACCCATCCATATGTGCTCAAACACTGTTTTTTACTTTGGTTGTGCTGTGCTCACTACATCAACATTCAGGGTCACTTTTCCCATCTCAAAAAATTAATAATAATAATGTGTCTCTACGATCTACAGTGTACTTTCCCCTCCCCTCTCCTCTCCTTGGTAACCACCGGTGAACATTGGTCTCTCTATATATATCTGTTCTTGTCAAAGAGGGCTCATACAATATTTGTCCTTACATATGCTTGACTTATTTCATTTAACATTATGCCCTCCAGGTCCATCCATGTTATAATATGTTCTATGGACTCATCATTGTTCTCTATAGTTGCATAGTATTCCATTGTGTATGGACCACAATTTGCTCATCCATTCAACCATTGATGGGCACTTTGGTTATTTCCATTTATTTGCTATCATGAATAAAACAACAATGAACATAGGTGTACATATGTCTGTTCATGTCATTATTTTTAGGTCTCTAGGATATATACCTAGGAATGGGATTTCAGGATGATAGAGTAGTTCTATTTCTAGTTTTTTGAGAAAGCTTCATACCATTTTCCATAGTGGTTGTACCATTTCACAGTTCCAACAGCAAAAGATAAGAGTTACAATCTCCCTACATACTTGCAAACATTTTTTGTTATCTTTTTTGTTTGTTTGTTTTTAATCAGTGACATTTTAGCAGGGGTAAGATGGTATGTCATTGTAGTTTTGATTTGCATCTCTCTAATGGCTAATGATTCTGAACATCTTTTCATAAGTTTATTGGCTGCTTGGATGTACTCTTTGGTGAAGGCTCTGTTCATGTCTTTGCCCATTTTCTGATTGGATTATTTGTCTTTTGGTTGTTGAGTTGTTGCAGTTTTCTATAGATTTAGATTAGACCCTTAGTGGAAAAGTCATTTCTGAAGATTTTTTCCCAGTCTATAGGTTTTCTATTTACTTTTTTTATAAAGTCTTTTGATGAGCATAAGTTTTTAATTTTTATGAGATCCCCTTTATCTATTTTGTCTTCTTCTATTCATGCATTTATTGTAATACTTGTTATCCTATTTTTACAAAAGATTAGATCACATAGTTTTCTCCCTATGTTTTCTTCCAGGACTTTTATGGTTTTAGATTTAACATTTAGGTCTTTGATCCATTTTGAGTTATTTTTTTCTGTATGGTGGGAGCTATGGGTCCTGTTTCATTTTTCTGCAGTGGATATTCAGTTTTGCCAGCACTGTTTTATTAAAGAGACTGTTTCTGCCCCACTGAATGGACTTTGACCCCTTGTTGAAAATTAGTTGTCCATAGAAGGCTGGGTTTAATTCCGAGTTCTCAATTCTATTCCACTGATTTATGTGTCTATTGTGAACCATTACCAGACTGTTTTGATTATAGTGGATGTATGGTATGTTTTGATATTGGAGTGTGAGGCCTCATGCTTTGTTCTTTTTCTTCAAAATTGCTTTGACTATTCGGAGTTTCTTTCCTATCCGTATTAAGTTGGCCTTTACTTTTTCAATTTCAGTAAAGAAATCTGTTGGGATTTTGTATCAGGATTACATTGTATCTGTATATCACTTTAGGTAGAATTCACATTTTCTCTATGTTAAGTCTTCCAATTCATGAGCACAGGATGTCTTTCCATTTTTGTAGGTCTCTTTTAGTGTCTTGTAGTGTTTTATAATTTTCATTGTATAGGTCTTTTATGCCCCTGGTTAGGTTAATTCCTAGATATTTTATTGATTTGGGGGTATTATAAATGTTTTTTTTTTAAATTTATTTCTTTTTTGTAGTAGACTTTGTTAGTATAGAGGAATCCAGCTTATTTTTACTTTTTTTAAATTGTGTTTTAGGTGAAAGTTTACACAGCAAATTAGGTTTACATTTAACAATTTTTATACAAATTGTTCCATGCCATTGGTTACAATTTTCACAATGTATCAGCATTCTCATTATTTCCATTCTGTTTCCATTGATCTAGCTTCCCTTCTCCTCCTTGCATTCTCACCTTTGCTTTTGGGTAAATGTTGACTGTTTGCTCTCATATAATTAATTGTTTTAAGGGAGCATCCTGTGGTTTTTTTTTTTTTTTTTTAAATCTTGTAAACAACTTCTATCAGTAAATATTTTTCTATGTTGAGTTTTTTTTTTTAATTGTGCGTTAGGTGAAAGTTTACAGCTCAAGTTAATTTCTCCTACAAAAATTTATGCACATATTGTTATATGACCCTAGTTGCAATCACTATAATGTTAAGGCACACTTTCCACCTCGGGTTTCCCGTGTCCATTCAACAAGCTCCTGTCCATTTCTGCCTTCTCATCCTGCCTCTGGACAGGAGCTGCCAATTTAGTCTCATGTATCTACTTGAACCAAGAAGCACACTTTTCACGAGTATTATTTTATGTTTTATAGTCCAATCTAATTTTTATCTGAAGAGTTGGCTCTGGGAATGGTTTTAGTTCTGGGTGAAGAGAGAGTCCAGGGGTCATGTCTTCAAGGGTTCCTCTAGTCTCAGTAAGACCATTAAGTCTGGTCTTTTTATGTGAATTTGAGTTCTGCACCCCACTTTTCTCCTGCTCTGTCAGGGACTCTCTGTTGTGTTCCCTGTTAGGGCAGTCGTTGGTGGTAGTCAAGCACCATCTAGTTCTTCTGGTCTCAGGCTGATGGAGTCTCTGGTTTATGTGGCCCTTTTGTCTTTTGGGCTAATATTTTCCTTGTGTCTTTGGTGTTCTTCATTCTTCTTTGCACCAGGTGGTTGGGACAAACTGATGCATCTTAATTGATGCAAGCTTTTTTTTTATTTGATTTTTAAAATTTTTTTTTATCGTACTTTAGATGAAGGTTTACAGAACAAATGGTTTCTCATTAAACAGTCAGTACACATATTGTTTTATGACATTGGTTAACAACCCCACGACATGTCAACACT